AGCTTAAGTGAGTCACTGATGCTTTTGAGAGGGGATAGTTATGGGAGAGAGGAAAGTCTGGAGAAGCGATGGTCTGGGTGAAGAAAGCTTGTCCTAAGAAATGAATCCTGAACTCTCCAAGCCAAGGGAGTAAAATGAAGTAGGAACTGAAAAGTGTGGGCAAGAAAAAGGACGGCGAAGAGGCAAAGAGGTAAAGTAAAGAGGGGCTGAAAGAGAAGTGAGACAACAAGGGAGATGTTGCCAAGCTCTAGAATGTTCCAGAATATGGAGAGCAAGAGAAGGAGTTCTTAAGACAACTGAGATTTTAATCTGGGTAATCGGAGGAATACTATTCACAGACGGGGGAGATGAGAGGAATAGCATGTTTGGGAGAGAATGGTGACATTTTTGTTTTGCTTGCTGTTTTTTATTCAAGTAGCTTTACACTGTAACACTCCAAGTTTCCTATGTGTGGGGTTATAATTCACCATAGGCCTATCAACTTCACCACTAAAATTTCTGGTTTGACTTCTCCATACAATTGACTGTTTTCATCCATTTTACTCCTCCCTTCCCCTGTCCTTTCTAAAGGAAACCACAGACTTGGTTTTACAGGCCCAAAACTTCTGTTTTGCCCAGTTTGTTTGTTTGCTTTCCCTATTACCAATGTGAGAGAGATCATAAAGTGTCTGACTGCTTCTATTTACTGTAATGCGTTGATTCATCTGTGTTGTCACAAATGACAGGTTTCATCTTTTCCCCTTTTGATAGCTGTGTAGTATTCCATTGCACATACACACCATATTTTTCATGTATGTGTGTGGTTTCTGGAGCTCAAACCCTGGGTCTAGACATGTGAGGTGCGTGGCAGTAAGCCACTAAGTCAGCTCTCCAGTATGCTTGTGGGGAGCACTCATGGTGGTGCTCGGGGAACCATGCAGTGTTAGGAATCAAATCCAGGGCTTCTGCATACAGAGTATGCACTCCAGCCTTTTGAGCCATCTCCTCAGCCCTACCACATCTTTATCTAATCATCTGATGACTCATTTTTGGTATAAGCCAGCAATGCCCAGGAGACTACCGGGAAAGTAGGTCTGGAGATGTAGCCAGTGGTGAAGCTAGAAAAACAGAGTTGAACCTTCTTACCCCTGAGTGCTGATGCATCAAAGTAGGGCACAAGTGTGTCCAGCTGGAGCACTGAGAGTGACAAGAAGGACTGGGAGCCAGACTGTGAAGCTTCTAGAAGCTCTAGAAGAAAACTGGCAAAGAGTGGTGTTCTTTCCCTCACTCTCACCATAACAAATTCACCGAGAAGTGGAAAGAGAATGCTATGGGAAAAACTATTCAAGAAAATGCCTTGAATTATGGGTCTTGGACTGAATTGGATCGTGAGCCTGAGAAAGAATCTGAAGTCTATGACGGAGCCAGACTCCTGATCCTTCTTACATTTAGGCCGCTCCACCTTCCCTTCTGTTCTCCTTTGTCCTTCCTTTTAAAATCTCTCTCCGTTCCTTCCTTCCCTGAACGCCCTCACACACTCTCTTCCCTCCCATTCCCTTTTTATCAGTCTCCAACTGTCCTGCCCCTTCTGCGCTAAGTCCAGACTGACCAACTGCGTGGGTGCCCACTGACCAGGAGGAGGCGCTGTCACCCACAGGGTCTGGGTCCTGTGTTTCAGCATGTCCCTGTTGCAGACTGGCCTAGGAGCTCACCTTGTATTGCAGTGTTGCAATATCTCAGATCACAGAATAATATTATTGGCAATATGATACCATCATCCTTTTGGTAATTAAAAAAAACAGCCTTTCCATTTCTTTCTACTTTATATGTATACAGTCTCCAGAGCCACTCATAAATCTCATGGTGACTGCGTAGGGTGCTGGGGGCCAGAGGTCAGCCACTCCTGGCATTGTACTGGGAGTCACTTAATACCCTAGGCAATGACTAATGTTTGGCCAGAAAGGCTCCACTGGGCATCACGTGCCAGGGACCCTGTGTGAGGGTGTCTCATGATTGTGTAAAAAAAAAGAAGAAAGGTAAGGTTTCAGGTGTATTCATTGGGGATCCAGAGACCCTCCCTGGTTGCCAGTGTCTAAACCCAAACCGTGGAAAGTCCCCAATCACTTTGCCACCCACCTTCGCCTTATCTTCAGATCCCCGGGCTTTCAAGAATATGTTTTTCGTCTGTGTTTACAGAAAGCGGTCAAGGGAGCTGTTTGTGGAGTGGTTTGTGGGTCTGTTTAATGAGGTGGAGGAATATCACATTTCAGCTGGAAGCACATCCCTAGAACGCCCAAGCCTTTCTTCCGAAGTCTGGTTTCCTGGTGCAAGCGCCCAGCGGAGGCCAGTGGTGTGTGTTCAGGAGGGAGCGTGGTGCCCAGGGGTTCCCAGTGTCCCCAGAAGACTCTGCTGCTTCAATTATATTCTTCAGGAAAAACCACCCAAGTCCCATTTGGTAAACTTGCACCCCATAACCCTCTGACTTGCCATTCTATTTGAGCCTTAAGTCTCCCAAGCAAGCCTGTTTTTGTTGTTCGCTTCTCTGTCTCTTTCTCTCTGTTTCTGTCTCTCTCTCATCCTCCTATACCCACTCCCGCTGCTGGAAAGGATGCTGGGGGTCCTATGCGGGCTCCCAGGATAAGGAGCAGAAGGAGTTTGGCTGAGTCTGGCTTTGCCACACTGCCCCCCTGTGCAAGCTTCTCTTCAGTCCCCTGCCACTCACCCCGCTCCGCGCTGCAGCCCAGCTGCTGTGCCTGCGGGAGGGGCTGCCAAGTGCCCAGCCTACTGGCTGCTTCCCGAGTCCCTGCCATTCCACATCCAAACACATCCCCGCTCGCGCCGCCACTCTCTGCTCTGCCCCGCGCGAGCGCGCGTGCAAACCCGCCCGCCCTGCCTTCCCTCTCCCACACTCTGACTTGGACAAGCTCGGCAAAGCTTTCTGGAAAGGCGTCCTCTAAGCTGCGGGGTAGGTTTATTCTCATTTCTCTCTCTCCCTCTCTCTAGCTTGTGCGTTTGGAGAAGGCAACTTAGCCCGATTGCTCCGTGTCTAGATCTTAGCCGAGAGAGCAGAGGAGGCTTGGCTGCTTTGGGTGGGTTTCTCTGGGCACCCCTCCCCCTGTGGTTTTTTTCCCCCCCTCCTTTCAGGACTTGCTGGGATTCTAGAAACTGATAGATGATTCGGTGGTGGGTTCCGATCTTTCACGAAGTGCTTCTTGCATGTGTTTCAGAAAAGACAAGTTTGATTTATGGAAATGAAATTATCTGCAGAAAAATTGCCTTGGGAATTAATGGTTGCTGGGCATAAGGAAAAATATCTGATTCACCTGGTGGGTTTTTGACTCTTTCCTTACTTATAGCCTGTGGTTAGGGCGGTGAGGATCAATTTTAGCATCCTATGAAATTAGCCACATCTGCAGAGAGCCCCTGGGAAACGGCTTGTCTGCTCTTCTAAGAATTAGGTAAAATGTGAACTCTTATGAAATATTCAAAAACATTACTAACAGTAACTTTGGAATTTATATCTGCTGTGAACCATTTGTCAGCTACTCGGTTGGGTATTTGAGGTAGCAATTATGTTGATTAGCAATTATCATGGCTCTATCTGTTATTAAAGAAAGTTGGCTTAAAAAGTATAGACTTTAAAAAATATAGGTTCCAGTTATGAGTTCACAATATATCAGTATCAGGTCTTTTGTATATGTATAGCTTTATCCTTATACAGAGACACTTATTTATATACAGCGTGTGTACATTTAGCTTTTAATTCGGGTCAAAACTTTCTTTCTATTCCTTTCTCGGCACATCCTACCTAGCCCCAGGGAAAACGAGATGGTTCAATGACAGGATTTTAGGATTGAAGAAAGGTATGTCCGCATTTTGCAACCGACTGGATAGCTGAATGGTGTGACTTAACTGCCGAAGGCTGGTTGATGACTCGAGACTACTTTTCCTAGGCAAAGGTCGCAATTCATATTTGGCTTTCTGAAGTTTGGGTTGCATAACCTGTGGATGGCATGGCAGCTCTGGTGCGCCTAAGCAGAGCTTTCTGTGAATCATCCTTCATTTGAGAATTCCTACGGGGAACGAGGACAGCGCGCCGGTCCAACGCAAACACCACAGAAGTGGGGTTGGGGCGGCTCTCCACCTGGTGGCAAGGGGGTCGCGCTTGGGGGGGGAGTGTTTTGCAGACGAGGTAATGGAAGTCCCGCACGTAGCAGCATCACCAACCAGTTGAGCAAAAAGCAGCTCTTCCTCTGGGCAGGCTTTTTGAATCTCTACCCCAGGTCCCCTTCTTCATGCCTCCCCCGCTACACCCCGCCCCGACGCCCCTTCCCACGCCTCCGAGCCAAAGAGGGACCGGTTGCAGGTGCCCGCGCGCACCCGGTTCCGTCCGTCCCCTATCTCAGTCACAGCACTGTCCAGTCCAGGGTCATTCTCGGTCCGCAGCCGCCGTTCTGCAGCCGACGGCGGGCGCGCAGGGAGCCTGGGGAGAGAGAGAGAGAGAGAGAGAGAGACAAACAGAGATAGGTGGGGGGCGCGGCGAAGGGTGCGCGGCCGGCCGCCCCTTAAGACGGAGCCGGGCTCGGAGGGGCCTTCCAGGGCGCCTGTCGCGCCCGTCTCCCCGGGGCCACCTTTAGGCGAATCCCGCGACTGACCCGCCCTCCTGCCGCGAAATTCCGCCTCCCGGGCCGGCCAAGCGGCCCGAGCCGGAAAGTTGGCTTGGAGGGAGGGAGTAGGGGAGTGGGGGTGGGGTGGGGGTGGGGGGAGCAGAAGCGGCCGATCGGAGCGGCCGCCGAGCCGGGTCGCGCCGGGAGAGATGTCGCGGCCAAGGCTGGCGGGCCGCCAGCACCTTTGTCATGCTTCTGGGCCCGCGGGGCCGGGACTTCAAAAGTTGGCGACCCACGGGCTGCGCTCTGGAGCGCACCGGGGCCGGGCCCGCGTCGCTCCGTGCAGCAGCCGCCTCTCACCGCGGGGCTCCGCTCTCGTTTTGCAGGTAGCCGAGTCCCGAGAGGCGCGGGGACCCGAGCGGCGGCCGGAGCATGACCATGACCCTGCACAGCAAAGCCCCGGGCATGGGCCTGTTGCACCAGATGCAAAGCGGCGGCGGCGAGCTGGAGCCGCTCAACCGCCAGCAGCTCAAGATGCCCCTGGAGCGGCCCCTGGGCGACGTGTACGTGGACGGCAGCAAGCCCGGCGGCGTGTACGGTTACCCCGAGGGCGCCGCCTACGACTTCAACGCGCCCGCCGCGCCCGTCTACGGCCAGGCGGGCCTCACCTACGGCCCCGGGTCCGAGGCGGCCGCGGCGTATGGCAGCGCCAACGGCCTCGGGGGCTTCCCCCAGCTCAACAGCGTGTCCCCGAACTCCGTGATGCTGCTGCACCCGCCACCGCAGCTCTCGCCCTACCTGCACCCGCACGGCCAGCAGGTGCCCTACTACCTGGACAACGAGCCCAACACCTATGCCCTGCGCGAGGCCGGGCCCCCGGCCTTCTACAGGTACCCTCGCTGCCCACCGCGTCACCGCGTCTGGGGGTGGTGGCCAAGCACCAGCCGGCCGCTGGCGGGAGGGAGCCGGACGCGCGGACGCCCCATTGCCACCTCTGGGGAAGGCACCGCGCGCGTGCGCGAGTGCGTGCTCCTTGGCGCGTGGCCGGTGGGGGTTTTGGGGTGGGGGGCGGGCCCCGGGGTGGTGCTGGAGGTGTATCTCCGGGGTCTAGAGTCAAGTTCTCTAGTTTGAGTTGAAGGGGAGAAAAAGAAAGCGGGAGGAAAAAAATAAAATACATAAATAAGTAAAAAATTGTCTCCCCGCCTCCTAGGGGTCTGCGGGAGACGCAGCTCCAAAGCCCCGCGCGCTTTCTAACTAAACGCTTGTCCGGGAAGCCTGCAAAGCAACGGTTATTTGTTATTGCAGGCGGAGAAGGGTGATCCGCAGCCCCCCAGACCTCCCACCGCAGAGCAAATAAACACCGGTGCTCGGGGTCCTTGGTGTCCTTCTTTGGAATTCAAATTTAAGACTGTGGGCACGGGGTTGTGGGGACGTGCTTTCCAACAGTTTCCAACAGAGTTGTTATTTAAAAGACATTGGTTTCTACGGAGCTAGCAACATGTTGCTTTCCTCTGGCATCTCGGGATGGGAAATTGGCGATTCTGTTTTCTTTTTTTTTTCTGCGCTCGTGCGTGCGTGTGCGCGTGCGTGTGTGTGTTTCCTAGATGTGTGTATTTCCTAGCGTCCGCCCTCCACGGACCCCCTTCTATCTTCCCCAAGTTCCCCCCTTTGCCTGTTCGAGGATCCCCCTTGGGATTTCATGGTAGTTCTCAGGAGAGCTACCGATGAGCTGGTGGGTTGGAACAAGTTTCTCCTTTCTGAGCTCTTTGCTTGGATTCTCTGCCTGGAGTTGCTGCAGACGGCGGAGACACATGTCTCGTGACAAGGGGAAATTTATAGGTGTTCCGTGAGTGTAAACATGTCCGTTTTTTTTGTAAAATACTCGTCTACTAGCTCAGTTGCATTTCGGGCCGGTGGGGCGCAACGTGCCCCCTACCCCACGCCAGCTGCCAGTGATCCACTGGGTTCCCAGCGTGTCATGGATGGGTTGCAAAAGTTAGCTCCCGGGGAACACTAGGGTACACACCACTGTAACTAGAGCTTTGATTGTTTGTCCTTTTGCATCCCGCCCCCCCCCCAAAGAGATGAAGACTTCTTTTCTCCCACTTTTCTCCCGATTTCCTTCTGACCGTTTGTCCCCATCCTAGTGGACCCAGAGGGGCGGTTACCTGTGTCCGCACGGGATGTGAGTCCCAAGCACTGGGACCAGGAGGAATTGGAGCGCCCACCAGATGGGGCTTTGAGTTAGGCACTACCTAATTATTGCCTCTCAGGCACCCTGTTCTCATGCAGACCCCTTGTTTGCTTCCCCCCACACTCCCGCTCCAATCCCCAGCTGAGAGGCCCTTGCTATTTACACTACTTTTTTCCAGAGATATTTGTGTCAGTAGAAAGCAGGGGAAAGTGACGCTAGAGGCCACTGATGGGCAGATTTGGGGGATCTGAACATCCATTCCCTGCACCCTTTAAGGGCTTCTGGGTTCCCATAGTTGGGCAGATCCTGCCAGGGAGTTATTACTGAAAGCCATCCCGTGAAGCGAACTTTTAAAAAGGTTGGCCTATTCTCAATGAATTTTGCTAGCTTTAAGTCAGGATTTTTTAAGTGGGCAAGAATTAATTTTGTTCACTTTAGGAAACGAGTTAGAATAAAATAGGACCATTAAATTCTCATTCACACATTTTAAAAGAAATTCTCTATGGGAAGGAAGGCAGCGCTGATGTGGATTCCATAACCTCCTGGTAGACTGCAGAAACTATTTTCTTTTCCACTTAATTTTCAGTTCTTTTATTGCAAATTAATGCCACCAAATTTCAATGGACACTAATGAGACTGCTCCCCAGTGGATTATTTACTGCCTTGCTAATAATTACAAAGTGAGCATGGTCAAATGAAAGAGTGGAACACATTTTACTCAAAATTGTTCATCACCCCAGGGGCAAATAATATCACTAGAAGGTGTCCCATCTTAAGCTTTTTTTTTTCTGCATTAGATAATTTTCCAATACTTTTAGAATAATAATTTTAAGAAAATAACCAAGAACTTAAAAATAAAGTAGAAGTCATGCCGACATGAGATTCTGTGCAGGTATCTGGTTTTAGAGTGATTCTTTTTTTTTCCTTCTAGTTTATTTCCCACATCTTTGACTTTTGTTTGAATTTTGCCTCCATGAAGATGGAGTGGTTCCTTGCTTGAAATGAATAGACATTACTAAATATTGCCCTACTCTTCATGTTTCTGCTTGAAGATATGTATAGATAAAAACCTGAATTTTTTTAAGAACTTTTTTTCTCAATGGTTATCAGAACATTGGGGACTGAAAGCAGTATTTTCAACCCCCTTGTCATAACCCAAAGATCATGAAATCAGTTTAGTGAATCCACAACTTTAAAAATAGGGAGGCCCATTAGAAAAGAAGAAATAGAAAATATTTAGTGAAGGTGAGTTTTATTTATTGTAATTATACATGATTGTATAGTAACCATTGTATATTTGTTTTATACTCGGGGTTGAGGTCAAAGAATTTTGAGAGCTACTGTCTTCAAATGCTCTGTTCAAGTAGAAAACAAAAAATTTGAAGAAGTGGTTGCTTGTTTTATCTATAAAAATCTAAAGACTCATTAAATTGCTTTATTTTTCACCTCCTAGAAATTAGATATCTAGAGATCAGTTGGCTTAACAGTTGAAATTACTGATTATTAATTTTTGTATTTGTAAAATGGAAATGTATGATAAAATATCTGATCCTTTGGATTGACCACCAAAATGTCTCATTGGAATGAACGGAGAATTTGTGGGCAGGTCACATTATTTCACAGTAAGATGCTTTTGGTTACTTTCTTCTGTTGGCTGTAGAATATGGACATATCAGTGTATGAAAATATGATCTGTAAAAGTACTCTAGGCATTTAATAACCTAAGAAAGATTGTTATAATACCCAATAAATTAAGAGAGGGAAATCTGTAAATAATCAAGCTGACCACCAGTGGACAAACTAGTCATTCAAATTATGAATGCAGTCAGTGTACAAGTTACTGGGGCTTCTCCTTGAAAAAAAATTAAGTTTTGTGTCTTGTTGAAGTTTTTTTGAGAAGTAAGCAACACATACTGGGTGATAAACCATGTTTTTTTTTAAAGTCTATTGAATAAGTATGCTTTTATTTTAAAATAAATAAAATACCTACATTGGATTTTTAAAAATGTGGTGGGTATGATTTAGTTTCTCCTTCAGTTTCATTCAAAATTCCTGTTTGAATTCTAAGAAGGAACCCAGGATAAAATGACTCTTTTTTGCCTTCTTCATGAATTTTTAGGTAGGAAGTATCCCACTGGTTGTAATTTACGTTTATTTTCAACTCTGAACAGAAACTCATTTCTAGGGAGGTATTTGGATGACTAATTTTCAAATTTCCAATAATTCTTTTTTTGTATGTAGGTATTATTTATTTCCTTCCTTCCTTCCTTCCTTCCTTCCTTCCTTCCTTCCTTCCTTCCTTCCTTCCTTCCTTCCATTAATTGCTATGTTTACTTGATACTTTGATTTGGTCTAATAATTCCAGGAGTAACATACTGCCTCAGAAATGAATGTATTTTTGATGGAAAACAGCATCACCTCTTCAAACACTCTTTCTGTTTCACCTACTCCATGTAGCTCACAACTTTCTGAGATTCCCTGAAGGATAATTGCCACTTATTCTAATCTTCTTTCTTATATCCCATAAGTTAATTTGAATCTTTGGATAACTCTTGTGAGTAAAGATAGTATGTGATATTCATAACTTTAGAAAATTCAAGTTCAGCATGCTGTCTTATTATTTTAAGAATATAAAATATAGGCTAGACTTGACATCAGGAAAATAGTTATAATATATGTGCACAAATTTTAATGATAGGACATCAGAGATTTTTGTTCAAATGAGATTGTAATGAGAAACTATACAGGGCTTTAATACCTTTATGATTTTATTCACTTATGAATATTTTCTGATGCTTTTATAAACTTAAAAATATAGCTGGCAAGAACTTAATGTGTATAGTGAGGAGCTTCACTGCAGACACAGAATAATGATACAATGAAATCTTTTTAACCAAATCTAAATATGTATCTGCACTGTTTTTTTTATTGCCTGGGTTATCATAAGGATCTTTAATGATTTGGCCACAATTGAATAAAAAACATTGATTATGTGAAAATAGTTTGACCTAAAGAATTATAGGCCTTTATATCCTCATTCCCCCCCGGCCTGCTAAAATATATGTTCAGTATAAAAGCAGTATTGCTAACTCCTCATGTGGCTTCACTATCATTTGAAATTGAACTTTCATAGAACCCAGCAGAAAGCTTCAAGCTCTCTTTATTTGCTAGAGCACAATGGCTGGAAAGCACCAATTAGTCATTCAGTTTAACTTTGAGTTTCAGTTTGCTCTTTGGAGGAAGGAAAAGCCCAGACTGGCCTCAATGGTGTAGAACGCAAATGCATATACTAGACAGAAATGTCGTAGACATGTGTGTGTATAAACACACACACACACATACACACACGAATTGAGTTCTGTGAATAGAAACCAACCAATGTGAAAGTGTAAGAGGTTTCATAAAAGGTACTTGCATCAAAATCAAGAAACCATTTTGTTTTATTTTTGCCATTTTGTTTGAAACCCTTCCAATGGACTGATCTTTGTTGCCACCTAAGTTAGTACCCAATCTGACATGTCCTTCAAGTCACACATAGATCCTACCTTTAAAACCTGGGCTCTGACAGGAGCACCTTTAGGATATATGTGATTAACTGAGGGAAGAAACTACAAGTGCTGATTTCAGCACCTTGGAGAATATTATTCGGAATTATAGAGGAAGGTTGGCATTAATAATACTTGGAATTACCTAACT